TCAAATAAGGAATTTTTTTTTTAATAAGATTCACTGAAATATTATCGCGTGTGTGATTGCCATAAAAGTTATTGTTTTATATACAGTAACACATGTCTTATACACATTATTGTTTTCTAAACCAACATGATTAACAATTTTAAGAGTGTACACACCTTTAATAAAATTTTATTTTAAATCATTCTAAAAATGTACTTTACTATTTTACTCATTTGGGTATGTAATTTTTGCTAATACTTGTATGGTAAAATACGTTCGACATCCTTGGGGATCGAGATGATATTAGGTTTATTCTAATAATTTCGAATATTGATTTTGCTTTGAACAAATAACATATATAGTATATTTTAAACCAGTTAATCAATTAGTTTATAGCATTCGGGGAGAGATTTAAGTTTATATTTTCGGAGAGAAAGGAAAAATAGTTGTATCAATGAGTTTGTTAACCTATCGTCTTAGTTATTCAGTCATTTCATAGATGGCGTCACTATAATATGTGAAATCACTGTTCAAGCAAGTTAAGTGTCTTGGTTAATGCAGTATTCAACTCTTTCTTTTTATTGATTTTTTAAGATTTTCTTTGTAGTTAATCATTCCAACAGGAATCACAATTAGAGTAGAGTAATTATTAACTCTACACAAATATTTCAGATTATTTATTTATTACAATAAATCTATCAAAAAAAAAGGAGGTATTTGTAACATTGTAATAAAATTTCTGTTAATAATTTCGGCATATATTTCAGATTGACTGAGAAGATTTTTTTTTTTATTTCTTCGACGTATGTGCCATCACGCTGCTTTTAACAAGTCCAAAAATTTCAATGTATGTGCACAGGAAAAAAAATTTAGTAAAACTGATTCAAGTCGTCAGTCTAAATCGTTTTATATTTTTAAAAACGATAATATTATCTAATAAAATTTGAATTTCTAGATATTATCAACGCTTTTGTACAAAACATCCTTTAAAAAGACCATTTTTATTCCTTTCCTTTTTTTTCCAATAAAAAGAAGTGGTAGAATAAGTGGTTATATTTCACAGAAAAAAAAAATAGCTTTGTCTGATCATAACGATTTATAATTGGATCTTAGCTTGAAGCACAGTGCTTTTTTTAAAGCTGAATAATAGTCAGAAAATAGTGATAACTTCGATTAAACAAATTTGTATGTCCTTTTACATCATATAAGATATTTTATTGACTGATTAGTTAAGATTCCAAAAGCTACTTTGTGCATAAAAAAAAAAAATAAAAAAAAAAAAAAAAAAAAAAANAAAAAAAAAAAAAAAGAAACTCCAGTAAGGAAAATCTAGGACTTTTAATGCAAATTTGTAAAATTGGAATAAAATCTATAATTGTAATACTCAAGATTTCTATGAATTTTTCATCGAAAAAAAGCGAAGTGATAGAAATCCAGTTTTGACTGTCACCACAAAATAAAACTAATAAAAAAATTTGTAAAATTCTAAAAAACGTGTTCTTTTCATTAAAAAAATGAGTGACTTTTATTCAATAAAGTAATTTAGATCAAAAGATCTACATCATAGTTCAAAGTTGCAAAAACTATAATCTCTAATATTATTTGATATTTTTCCTAGATTTTTTTTAATCACAATACTTGAGGTATAGGGAATATTCGAAATATTGATCCTAAAATAAATGTAAAATGAACTATGTATATTTAAGTAATAATATATATAACTGTTCTATGCCAATTACACAAGTCTGTATCTGAGAGAGTTTAGTAAAGATTAGTTTTATAATCGCGTTGGAAAGTCTGAACTACATATATAGTTTGTTGTTCTTACAAAGCTTAAAGCTATTTTCAAATTCAACCCCTCCTTCAGAAATTAACGTTACAATGATCTGGTTGTTTTGAAATGATGATAATACCACTTTTAAAATGTGAACCTTCTAAAAGTGTAATGCTGTTATAAATACGTTTTTGTTATCGATATTGTGAACGCATAGTGTTCTTATTGTCGTAAAGATACATTGTTTTTGTTGTAGTAAATAATTATTTTTTTGTGGTTGTAAATATAGGATAAGGCTAGGTAAGATAGCCATAAAGGAGAAATGAAAAATCTTAATTTTTCCCATACTTGTTAATACATAGCAGAAGATGCAAGTTTCACAAGAAGCATTCCATCTTGTTTATCAATTTGGACGAAGCTTTGTTTCTTCTGACAACAAAAGTTAGAAAATTTTAGTGTATATTTTAGTCAGGGATCAAATATTTTTTTGTGAATTACGTATTTTGTTGTTTTTTAATAAGTAGGTTGCATTTGTTTTGATTTAAATGTATCTTTAAGACACAATTATAGTTCAATCATTGTTTATGAGTAAAAATGAAAGAAATAAAATGGCGAAGTGTCGCTAAAAGCATAAAATATATACTTACTCCTTTCTATATTCTTTACTATAAATACATACTATAGTGCCCATCTCACCTTCAACTTTAAAAGAAATGGCCAGATATAATCGATTAGTGATGACCAATTTTAATTAATATGTTTAAACGTACGAGGAATCAGAAGGTGCTTAAAACATTTTAAAAGTAACATCAAAAGTAAGAAAATAAGATGCATTTTAGTAAGGGAGCAACGTGCAATTTGCATTTCCAATCGCATGTAAATACGATTCGCGCACGCTCGAGCAATTCGTATTACGTGTACTTTCCAATCCCGCGTCTGGAGGACAATCGCATCAATAGCAAAATGCAGTCAGAGTGTTGACACCGAAATGTGTCATTTTGAAACCCAACCAAACACATCAAAAACTAATAATGTTCAGTGCGAGGGAAAAGAAACTGACTACCTTGAATAACTTTTGATTTAATGATCGGATCTTCACGTTCTTGAACTCTATCTAAATTGCTCGATGGGTTGACCTCAAATATGCTAATTTAAAGTGCAGAAGATATTTTAAGTTGCGAAATCAGACACAAAAACGTACTTTCTCTGAATAAACTTACCTTTTTTATAACAGATTCGGATTTCTGACCTCCAAAATATAGGGGATAGCCGCAATCTGGACACTAAGGAGAGATGGCCATTTGTAAGTTTATCTTAACATAATCTGTTTCATGTTTTGTTCTCAATACGTACGAGTATTTTATTAATTTTTCCTCACAATATGTATGGTATATATGTATGAGAATTTTAAATGTGCATTAACATTTCTTGTATCTCTACTTAGTACCTTTATTTTGGTTTGTAAAAGCCATGGCCATCAATCCAGACTCAATCCCTGACTACCTAGGTAAAGAAATGCATCACTTTTAAGTTTTAGGTATTTCAGATGAAGAAAATCTATCACTTTTAAGTTTTAGGTATTTCGGATGAAGAAAATGTATCACTTTTAAGTTTTAGGTATTTCAGATGAAGAAAATGTATCACTTTTAAGTTTTAGGAATTTCAGATGAAGAAAATGTATCACTTTTAAGTTTTAGGTATTTCAGATGAAAATGTATCACTTTTAAGTTTTAGGTATTTCAGATGAAGAAAATGTATCACTTTTAAGTTTTAGGTATTTCAAATGAAGAAAATGTATCAATTTTATTTCTCAAATATTGTTGATAAAATAACTGCATCATTTTTACGTTTTCGGTTGATGAAATGAAGTAAAGAAATAATTCTAAGTTTCATAAAAAAATGCTTGTTCATAGGTGTTATATTTTATAGGTGTTATGTTTCATAGGTGAAAAAAAATGCATGTGTTTATGTTTAGGACATTGTTTTAAAATTTATATATTGATCTAGTAAGGCGAGCATATTTTTGGATAACTTCTCAAAAGACGTTATAATGGAGAAGCATACTATTTAAAATCCTTTTTAAAGATAACCAAAGAATTTTCAATATTCGGAAAATAAACACGAAATATTTATCGTTTTACATTAGATAACTTATTTGTTAAAATAATTCTCAAAATATTTTACTTGTTTTCTGTCGTTCCATAGCTTTCTCTCTATGCGTAGAACAGTCTTTAGACGGTAGTAGTTAAATTATTTAAGGATGACAGTTACTTATCTTCCTTTCATATTTAATATATTTTTTCATGAGCAGTAAATTTAAGAAAAAAATTTAATTTAAAGAACCTATTTCAAACATTCTTTATAGCGTTAAGTACATTAAAAATTAAACGATATGCAAGAATATAAAAAATACAAAAATTAAATTACTTTCTTTTTCCGCCGATTTTTTTTTTAACGAAAGAATATTTTATTCAAATAAATAAATATGTCTTCTTTTTAAAGGCAAACATTGTAGTTATTTCTTTTATTATTCTAAATGAAAAATGTAAAAAGAAATATATTCTGTTTTATCATTAATTCATTTTTTATTAACAAAGATGTTTTGCTGTTTGCAGACTAACTAACTATATATGTTATAATATTATGATTAAATGAAAGTAATTAATAAAGATTTTTTACCTGAAAAGAAATAGCTCTGTTTGTTTTTCATTATTTATACAAAACTGATATGTGTGCAAAAGATGGTTTCGAAAAATGTTTGTAGAAGTAAACGCAGACATTTTTACAACGTTTATTATTATAAAAAAAACATAAGCTCAGTTAAAGTTCGTCTATACCAGTGGTTTCCAACCTTTTGTGGACTGTCGCCCCCCTCTTGGGACTGGCTGACGCACATCGCCCCTTTCTCTTTTTGCTCAAAAACCATTCATTGCTGCTTGTGAGCAACCAAATGCTAAGTTATATTTAATTTTAATTTAAATTGTAATGCAAATAAGGAGGCAATTTTATCCTGCCATTTTTATAAATTAAAAAAAATTGTGAACCTTTTTTTTTCAAAAAGAAATGATATTTAAAACGGAATAATCAAACCAAAAGTACACTTTTTAAAATTCATATTTTAATGTAATCAAGAAAAGTTAAAACGTTAGCAACTAAAATTTGAGAAAAAAATGAAGGGTGAGAAGGTACATTTTTACCACTTCAATGACTGCCCTGTGCTTGGTGTATTTCAGTTAAAGCTTGAATGTCAGGTTTTATGTTCGTCAGATTTAAACGCAGGTCGCAGGTCTCCTTTGAAGCAAATGTCCAACCTATTTCTTTGCTTTGTGAGGGGCTGGATGACAGAACTAAATCCTCTCTCCACTAAATATATTGACGGTAACGAGATGAGGAGCGGGTCAGTTTGTTTCCACAATTGTGGATAAGTGTCCATAAGCTTTACCCAAGCTAACTCGTAACCGTATTTTTTAAAGACAACTTTAGCATACTTCAAGTCTAAAAACTCAGTTTGCAAAGAGGAAGTGAGCTTATCCACAACTTCAAAACAGAAAGGATCGAAAATCCAATCCGGAATTTCTAATTTCATCAAATCTTTAAATCTTGATTCCATATCAGTTTTTAACTGATCAAGCTGATCAGTAAAAATTAAGATTTTATTTTCGAGAATCACGATATCTGCCATTGAACACTTTCTAAGAGTTGGAAATTGCATTAGCTCTTTGCGACCAATGTTTGATTTGTAGATATCAAACTTGGCGATGAATGAAGATATGATTCCCTTAGCCTTGATAATGTTCATTTTATTTCCTTGAAGTTTCACGTTGATTTCGTACATTTTTTCAAAACTATCCGTAAGGTACGCAGTTTCCAACTTGGTTTGCTTCAAGTGGTGTCGAGAAACTCAGTAATCGAATCAAACAATTCGAAAAAATGACGCAGTTTCCTTTTGAAAGCCATCTTACATCTGCATGTATGAGCAAGGGTTCGAAATCTTCATCATTTTCACGGCAAAGTTCTCGGAACAAACGGTCATTGAGAGAATTAGCTTTGATTTTATTGATGGCAGAAGTAACGAATTGTAAAGTGTCATGCAGGGCACCACTCAACTTTTTGCAGCCAAATGTTGACGATGAATGACACAATCAATGGTGATGACCTCCGGTACTTCTTTTTTAAGGTGCTCTAGAAGCCCAGTATGACGACCAGACATGGCAGGAGCACCATATGTTGCACAAGCACTTACATTTGTAAGGGGGATTTCTTTTTCCTCAAAATAGTCTTTGACCAATTTAAAAATCTACAAAAATTTTGTACCAGTAATCAAAGTTCTTGTAAACATTTCCTCGTTCATCCAATCTCCTTACTCTCATTTATGAATCTCACGTAAGCTAATACAATAGCTTTGTTATCTGTCACAGTTGAGTCATCAATCTGCCACGCAAATTTACCTTCTCTCATATATTTGATGAGTTTTGATTCAACGTCTGCGGCCATCTCATCAATAAGCTTGGAAACAGTATTATTGCTCAGAGGTTTTATCTTATTGCTCGATCCCTTACCCAACATGATTTCAACAATTTTTTTAGTAGCTGGTAAAATAAGAGTTTACTAATTGTGTGAGGTTTAGAGTTATAAAAATATTTCGTCCATCAATCCGTTTCTCCTATTACATGGCTTTTAAAATCGGAGGGATGGGAATGAGACGAGAGAGGAACATTTGAGGAGAAGAAGCTATATAAAAAGACCATGACTTTCAACAAAAGAAAATTCTTGAAGGTCAGATTTCCGCCAGCGATACCAAAACGTAAGACGAAAACGATCCTGAACTTCAAATTTTTTAATTTTTAACTATCGTAATTCTTCATCTACACCAGAACCATAAGCTTCATATATGTTTTCAATTTCGATCTCAAATAGCTTTTGTCATTAATATTATTAGCAATTTTTATGTATTGAATACTCGTCGCCCCCTGATCGCCCTCCTATGCATTATCGCCCCCATGAGGAGCTCTATCGCCCCCAGGTTGGGAACCACTGGTCTATAGTAAGATAAAACAAGGTGTTCCTATTTCTCATACCTCACATATCACGCTCTTCTTATATTTTTCATAATTTCTTCGAAATTAACAGCAAATTCTTCTTTAGTGCAAAGAAAGAAAACATAGCATTAGCGAAATAGAAAACTTTGTTACTTTTTCTCAATTTTCGAAACAATATCTGTAGTTCCAATATGAAATTTCAAATTGTTTCGAATATTTTTTACTTAAGTTTCACTTTTTTACGGTATTTTTTTGGTTCAGTTTGGTAATTTTCAAACTAATTATGGAACATAAATTTTTTTGTAAATTGTATATTTTTCTGAACACCCTCGTAATTTCAAGTTTCTAAGTTTTATAATTTTTGCATTTACGTTAACCAGCATTTATTTACTTAACCTGTATTTATTATGACCAATTTGATACCAATTTTACAAAAGAAGTATCAATTCAAAATTGTATTATTCTGAGAGTATAACTCTAAATTTCATGGTTTACCGCTTGTATAGCATAAAAGAGAAACTGTTACTTCAAATTTAGTTCCTACTGTACTCCGTGGAAATCGGCAGACTTCTTTGAAATTAGTCCTGTTCCTAACTGATATAATGTATCTGTTGATGTCTGAAGACGGATACAATTTTGATTCATCATAGTCTCTCATATTGAGTTTCTTACAAAGACATTCATATTGAGATGTTCACATTTTTGTAGTGTTTAAATTAGTCGTATATTTTTTTAAATAATGTTTCTTCCTAACTTGTATTTTTATTAATATTTTTGTAAAACTAATTAATTATAATTATTTTTAAAAGTTTGCTTTTATTATAGTTTTCACGTGATGTTTTTTTAAATATGTTGCAAAAAACTTGGAATCATTTATAATGCCATTTATTGAAGGAAAATTTTTTAAATTAATTACCTTAAATGAAGAGAATCTAAGAGGAATAATTAATATTAATTTGCTTCCCAAAATATTTTCTCATGAGCTGAATTATTTTATTCTTTTGAAAACTGATTAAATTATCAGGAAATAAATAATCTAAATTTAAAAAAGAAAACTTTTTTGAAAGTAAATATAACAAAAACTTGTTAAATATATCTTATTTTTTGACGAAATATTTTTAATACTATGTTCAATTTAAATCATTGGCCGTTTTGTTTTATGACCAATATTATTTTAAAGTCTACATTTTAAGCGAAGGAGAATTTAAATTCTCTATTAGATCAATATAAGGTTTCAGCTTTAATAAAAGCAATTGAAGCTTTACTTTCTAAATTTTTCATCTCCTCTATTAATTAAGATCTAAAGTAAGGTTAATACGCATCTAATACTAAAAGTCTCCATTTTAAGAGAAGGAAAATTTAAATTCTCTATTAAATCAATGTAAGATTTCAACTTTAGTAAAAGCAATGGAAGATTTATTTTCAAATTTTTCATTCCCTCTATTAATTAATATCTAAATTAGGATTATTACGTATCTGATACAAAAAGTACCTGATTATTGTAACTGATTCTCCATTGTTGAAGTATTAGTTTGTAACTTATACTAAAACGCTGGTATTTACCTACCTTTAATATAGCATTAGTTTATGCTTGTTAAGAAAATATTAAAATTCACGATTGAAAATTTTTTATTTAGATATACAAACATAGGAATAAAAGCTCAAACATTGAGCGAAACTCATTTACATAAACACATATAAAAATCATTGTCATTTACAATAAATTACATGAAAATAATAAACACATTGATCAACGAAAAACTGGGACATGAGATTAAAATTATTTTAAGAGCAACACAACATTCACTTTATCATGATTGTCGGGGGACATTAAAGCATGCGAACATGAATCGATGATTCAATAAATTCTCTTTTGTTAAAACTTCTATTCTTTTTGTCAGTTAAAATTTCAACAATCAATTTTTAACTTCTAGGCCAACGCTTATTATTATTTGTAAAATTATTTATAAGAAATCATTTATAAATTATGTATTATTATTTATAAAAATGATCGACAATTTTAAAAAAATCGGAAGAAAGTTATAAATTATTAGTATGCTGCCTTCACTAGTTTGTTTTCACCAAGTTTCAAAGTTAAATCCATAATTCGTCAACAGAGAGNTAATGTAATAAAAGTTTACTAAACAAGCAGATTTGGCTCCCAATTTTTAAAAAAAATTTTTTTAATGTTCATATTTGGCTCTTTGGCTAATAAGTTTGCCGACCACTGTTCTAGGCGAACGCTTATTATTATTTGTAAAATTATTTATAAGAAATCGTTTATAAACTATGTATTATTATTTATAAAAATGATCGACAATTTTAAAAAAATCGGAAAAAAGTTATAAATTATTAGTATGCTGCCTTCACTAGTTTGTTTTCACCAAGTTTCAAAGTTAAATCCATAATTCGTCAACAGAGGGCACTGATATATGAGAGAATACATCACATTAATATTTTTAAAAGTGTTTGAAGTTATTATAGTAATCGGCTCAAACTTTTTAAACAGCGATCATTAGCAGCTATAAATTCCTTCAATCTGATAAAAAATTCATAAGACACTTCTACAAATTACTCTCTTGCTAGGATTATATAATATACAGAAAAAAACTTTGTCTTACAATTTTTCAGTCAGTTGCGCCATCTATTGAGGAACTCTGGTTTAGTAATATCTGGTACAGTAATACGCAGTAAACCGTACATTTCTATTTTCTGTTTAATTTTAAATGATTTTTCAAATTATTGGTCATTTTTTAAACACCTGAAATCATATTAGGAGTATTAAGAAATTCCCGTGAAATATTTAAAAGCATTTTCCTTAAATTATAATTCACATTACAACTTTATTAAAAATTATACATAAACATTTATGCAATATTTATTGTTGATACTACTTGTGTGAAAATCTGAAGTATTTTTTTAAAAAAAATTTATTATTTAAACCTATACCAATGAACCAAAAAAAGTTTTTTTAAAGGGAAAAACAATGGAATTTAAAATTTGAAACTCCATTAAAAATTATGATTATTTTTACAACTGAGTTTTCATCAGAGAAAGTCAAACAAAGATTGAAAATCAAAACAAAAACAAAACGCAATATAAATTATTGAAAATATTACTGTTTCGAATAAAAATTAAAATTGAAGCTAAATAAAAAATCAATCAAAAGTTAAGCACGCATTATTATTTTGTGAAAACCGAGAGAAAAAAGCTAAATGAGACATACGGAGACATTAGGAGTAAGTGTGGTTGAACTACCGTTGTGTTCAAAAAATTAGTTTATGCTTAATATATTATTAAAAGTAACATTTTGCACCCTTACATTATTTATAATTTCTGAATTTTCTGTAGGCTAAAGATTCAGCCGTGATACAAATTGAACATTGTTAGAAACTTTAAATCGTGTTCAATTATAATATCTTTCAAATTTGCTTCAAACTTATTACTGTGACAGTTGATATTATCAGGCATTTGAATAAAAGATATTACGGTTCCAATTGAATGGAATTCTATTTAACACTGTCGTACTTTTACGCGATATTATGGTTTAATATGCCATAATTATGGTCCAATGTTGAATCGAGTATTCTGAGATACACAACGGTGGAAAAACATATATTTTCAAGAAGCATGGCATGAAGTTTTAAAATCATAAATTTAATTCTACTTTTCTTATTGTATTAGTATTTTTTTTTGGTGAGTTTTGGAGGAACTATATCAGCTGTGTCAAACCTTTGAAGTTTTTTAAATTTAAATGTAACCTCTAAACAACTTTTTTTCAGCATGTTTATTGAAGTTCCTTTTTTTTTCACGAATTAGATAAATCCCTTTTTACAATTATATTTTTTCCACTTGCGTAACTACTAAATATTTCATTAATGTTTATTAGAATTTCACTCTGTATCATATTATTATTATTTATACTTTAAAATTAAGACTCATTTCTTTCAAAGTGAAACCAAGAACTGAATTCAACTAGCTTTTTGTTCGTAAATTTAACTATTTATTCTCAATCTTATTTGCTAAATAATAAAGCAAATATAAAGCACAAAATCAACAATCAACGCAAGTCTTTGAAATAACTTTTTGATGCATATCATATTCTGTGGGTATGTTGATGGCATTCGGTGCTTGAAAATAGAGATTGGACTTCGCCGAGTTATCTAAATTTATTTTAAAGTAAATTGTCCGTTTTTAAAGCTCTTCAACTGATGAAATGTTTTATGATGGCATTCTTGGGCGAAAACATTTTTCGGGATAGTTTGAACATTAATAATATCCTTTCCTGTTGGAATAATTATTACCATATCCACTTCTGGATGATGACCAGCCTTTAGAGTTTCTTGGAGTGCCCCCTTTATAATTTCCTTGAAAGTTGCCAGAACCATATCTGTCATATATATTGCCACCCCATACGCCACTACTCTGTGGAATTGCGTTTATGTTGTTGTAATTACCATAGCCCTTTTGTCCACCAGAAGATCCACCGTAACCTTTCTGTCCCATATAGGAACCACCATATCCTGAACCATATATTTGATTACCTAAACCACCACTAAGGCCTTGGCTTGGGTAACCACTTCCGAAATTGATACTACCATAGCCTTGTTGATTTCCTAAGTTTCCATAAGACCCTCCGTAGCTTCCCTTATCACCTCTGTAACCACCACCCCCACCACCACCAGATGGCCAATTGTATCCCCCAGAACTAATCTGATTCCCACCGTACCAACCACTTTGTCCTCCGTATCCTCCTTGTCCACCATATCCACTTTGTCCACCTAATATACCTTGTCCACCAAATCCACTTTGTCCAACTAATATACCTTGTCCACCATATCCACTTTGTCCACCCAATATACCTTGTCCACCATATCCACTTTGTCCACCATATCCACTTAGTCCACTTAATATACCTTGTCCACCATATCCACTTTGAACACCATATCCACTTTGACCACCATATCCACTTTGACCACCATATATTCCTTGCCCGCCATAAGCACCTTGACCAAATCCCCCTTGTTGCAAGTATCCACTCTGTCCGTATCCGCTTTGACCGTAGCCACTTTGGTATCCCCCTTGATTATAAGAGCTACTTCCTTTATAGTTACCAGAACCACCAGTCATAGGTCTCTGAACATTGCTTCCACCCCAACTTGATCCTCCAGAAGCCCAACCTTTGTTAGTACCATATCCAGGATTTTGATTGATTTGATTGCCTACGTAACCACCTTGATTAGTCAGGTATTGGTTTTGAGATCCACCTCCATAGCCAGTGGTGCGACCATATCCTCCTTGAGGTCTATTATTTGACCATCCTTTGCTGTTGCCACCACCACCAGAACCACCAGGATACCAAACTTGAGTACCATAAACTGGTCTTTGATAACCTGTCGCTTCTCGTACTAAATCTCTGGTACCTGATGTACTGACACTTTTAGCAGTCACATCTTCTCCTCGATCTCCCTTGCTGGCAGTTTCAGCCCATGTATAAGGAATGCATATGCAAGCTAAGAATACTGAGAACAGCATCTGAAAAGAATTAGAATATACCATTGAAGCTGCAGTAAAGCTTTTTGTTAAATAATATGCGATTATAAAATACATTTATGCAGACAGATAATATACTATTCGAAAATACACTTATACAAAAGGATAATACATTTATACAAATAGATAACATAAATATATATAAGATATTCGGGGGTTCCAGGTTGCTTTGATACCTGCACCATGTGCTACAATAAACGGGCGACCCCTGACCACTTGCTTGCTTGCCTGGGGCTCACCAGATAAAATATGTGGGTAATCCTGTGATGTTATTCGACTTTTTTAGGGTACACAAAATCATGGACCTACTTTAGCCCTGCTGATCTTGGTGATGTGCTGTAACATCTACATAAATCTATATGTGTAAAAAAATGAATGTCTGTGTGTTGGTAATATGTATTTTTGTTGGTAATATGAATGTTGGTAATATGTATTAATTGAAATAAAAAAAGTAGCTTCTGAACTAAAAAGCAGAAATAAGTAGAATAAGCATATAGTCGCGTTTTGGGTAACCGTAACAGAAATCTGCATATTATTATTGACACTAATGCTCAATTAATATTGATAATGTGTACTAATTGAAATAAAATAAAATAAGCTATGTGCTAAAAAGACAAGCTCATGGAGGACAGATTAATGGGAAATTTGTTTAAGAAAACCGTAAGAAATCGACTTTCACAGCTGACGCTTAATTCATATGTATCACAGACTGTAATATGCACTATTGGTAATATGGTAATTGGCGAATTGGTTTTGATCAGAGTTCTGCAACGGGTTTCCATAGTTTCAGAAAATATTTTTTTCAATGGTAGCTAAGATAGTGTAATAATACTTTAATGAATTAAAATTAAAAGAACTTTTTTCCGCACTACTTATAAATATTTTAATAGTGAATTAAGGGTCTGATATAGAAATGGTCATGCTCCAAAATCCTTATAAAGTTCTAATTATTATCATTTTTAAAAAAAATTTGCTTTAGCTTGCTGCTACTGACAAATATGTATAAATTGAAATGTTAGGTTATGTAATAATTACCAAATTACTAATATAGGTATAAAATATTACATCGATATATTTGGTGATGCTTAAAACTGCACCAGTCAGTTTTAATACCGATACGCGTCTTACAATCCCTCGAAAAGGTTATGTACCTGAGAAAATCACTTAATAATGATAAATTTTAACTATCATGATTAGGCAGCGAGCAATAGCATCATGTGAATACATTTTATCTTTATGCCGTTTATATGAATTACAAACAACTGGCTTTACTTACTTCTATAACGTAAAGACACCAATTACAACATAAAACATTAAATTTAAAAATTTTTTTAAAATTATTTTAGCTATATTAATTAAAAAACTTAGAGGAATAACCAGGTAAGGGAAATTTTCAGAACGAAAAAAGAACACATCGATCCGAATTATTTTATTACCAATTTATTAGAAGGCTGGAGAAATAATTCTTTGCATTTTTTTTATTTACCGTTGCGTAATTTGAAATAAAAATCATGCAAGCATACTAAAAACTAATATGGATTAGTTAATATAAAAGTGAAATCAAAAACGGTTCTGTTACATTAAACATACCCATATTGACGAAACCACTTTATGTTATTTTATCTAATTCATTAATTCTCTTTAAAATTTAATTCCCCTGGTTCTTCCATAAAGCTCTCTAATTGTGTCGGTATGCCTTTCAGTTTTGAACATGATTGCGTTGTGTTTCTAAGTACTGATTTATTGATTCTTTTCTGTTTTTATTCACCCCGTGCGAAGAACGGGTATTCAGCTGGTATATAACAAAAACAGACAAATAGTTAGTACTGATACATACTACTGAACGGGTTGCCTCACGCTTCTTCTTAAAAAAAATTATTTTTTTGAAAATAAAAAAAAAATTCTTACTTTTTACTAAAGCAGCTTTAATATAATACACAATTAATTGGGTTATAAATGAGAAATACTTTAGTACAGCTTTTCTTGAACCAATAAATTAAAAGCATAAATTCATATCCATTTAATCTATGCCAGTCTTTATTATTTTTGAGTCCTTATACATAATTTTTCTATGCCAGTCTTTAATTTTTCTGATTTTATCTATAATTTTTTTGGTGGATATGGGTAGGTTTGGTTCTCAGGGAGCCAGAGTGACTAATGAGTGAGTAGAAATGAATGAGTAGCTGAGTGGGTACTACAAATATTACCATGAACAAAGTTATTCGAATCCTCAGATCTAACGAATAGATTTTATATTTTCGTAGGAAGACCAGGTAAATTCTTCAAAACTTTTAATTGTACTCGTTCAGAACATATTTTAAAAAAAAAAACAACATATTTTCAAAAACTCCTGCTTTTGTTTAGCATAAGAAATTTTCAACAAGATAGAGAAGAATTCCAAAATCTAAAAGAAAATTGTCTTAAATTGACGAAATTGACAGAAGCATTTGGAATACTATCATGGTGGTGGTAATATATTTTCGAGCAAGCTCATACGTCTTTTTGATGACTCCCATAAAATTCTTCGTACCTGGTCGAGAGACGGATACTTGGAAGGGGGATTTTCCAGTCCTGAACCTTCTGAAGAATTTAGCTCCATAAAAACAATAACGAAATAACAATAATGAAACAGTTACCCGTTATTCTTTGAACATTTTTCTTGTTTGTGGCGTTGCTCGTACTTACACCCTATTTACACGAGGACTGGAAAAGGCGCTTAAAACCAGTATTTTGATGACACAAGCCTAAAAAAAAGGTTTGTCAAATGTACATCGTTCCAGATGTTAAAAATCCCAACTAGCCAGGATTTTCGAAAAATAACCCCATGACACAAATAGCCAATCATCACGGGCCTAAATTCAGCCTGACTCAAAGTAGGGTTTTCAATCTTGCCAAGATTTTCGAAAAATGACCTCATGACGCAAATAGCCAATCATCACGCGTCTAAATTCAGCCTGACTCAAAGAAGGATTTTCCATCCTGCCAGGATTTTCGAAAAATAACCTCATGACGCAAATAGCCAATCATCACGCGCCTAAATTCAGCCTGACTCAAAGTAGGATTTTCCATCTTGGGAGGATTTTCGAAAAATAACCTCATGACGCAAATAGCCAATCATCACTTGCCTGAATTCAGCCAGACTCGAAGTAGTCGTCACCCGACAATAAACACGTGAGATTTTTTTTTTCACTCTTTAATTTTTCATCAAAATAATGCAAAGTGCGTTACTTCAATCTAATATTCAAGTAACTACTGCTAGTAAAACTGATTCCATTCATTTCTGCTTGGAAAATCGGTTGAAAAAGGGGTGCAAATAACTCTATAGCACTTTGTCCAAAGGCGAAATATTAGGAACAAAATTTTCATCACTGCGTCATGCTATTTACATTGATGGTAGGTAAATTATTCGGACAAGTGCATCAGAGATATCAAACTTATAAACCTTCACCATTTTCGGGGGTGATTAAATCCAATTCTGAATAGTTAATTTTCCTTGTAAGTATATAACTTTTCTTTACTTCAATTACTGTTTATTTAAAATTTAATTTATGTAAAAAAGTGTAAACTGTAAACAAAATAAATACTTGGCTCAGATAACTTAAAAATACTAATTTGGGGACATAGTGCTTAGATGCCATTCCTGCTGATCCTTGAGCTTACAAGGCATGATGAAAAGAATATTTTATAATTTAAGAACGTGTAATAAGCTCCATTTTTTTTTATGAAAGAGTGATGTAATCTAGAAAACATCACTGACGTTAATTTTTGAAGGAGAGAAGAAAAGTTGAATTGTCAACAGTTTAATTTATTATAATGTCTAACATTAAACCAGTGAGAAAAACTCATCTTTCAAAGTCTAGTTCCGAACGAACTAATTGAAATTTTTGACACATAAACTTTTATAACGACTTTGAATATTAATATATTGAATACATTTGGATTATTTACCGTTTATATCAAACAGAAGAAACAATTTTTATGAAAATAAAATTTTTGAAGTCTGCGTGACACTCAGCAATTCGTTATCGTTATAATTTTCTATTTAAAAGGCTGAAAAAACGAGAGAATAACCAATACCGAATTTTGAAACATGAATGTAATGTTTCTATGAATTATCTGAGACGGATAAAACACTTTCTAAAATTGATTTTGCTCACTTAACACGCAAAATATCTGTTTATCATAGCTTCTGAAGTTAGACTTTTAAAGGGATCTTTTAAATATTACATCAGCATTTTTTTTCTATATTATTGAACCCTTTCCCCTCTGTCAGCAAATAAATAAATAAATCATCCCAGGTTGAGAAGAGAAAATAGATAGAACCTTGGGATCTTGCTTCAATTTGAATTAAATTTAAATAAAAATGTAACGCAATAAAACAAAAGTTACGTATAAGTTTATTTTATAAAATTTTGAGCAGTAAATCCTCAGTAATCCTTTGAGATCAAAACTCTTTCCATCTGAAAATCTTGGAATAAATTTTCGAATTTTTAACCCTAATTTGTGATCTTTCACACTTTATTTTCTTTCTTGAATTTTTTTTTTTTTTTTTTTTTCGTTTTTAGAAAATTGGGAAATTTAGGGGATTTTAATGTTTTACTCTCGCACCCTCCTACCTCCCTCCATTTACCAACAAAATTACGTAAATCACAAATCATTGGTACCCATTAGGTACTTTACATAATATTTGAACGGCCCCTTAAGATAATTTTTAGTTATCACCTCACGTTATTTGACGAAAACAAGAATTCACTATTATAGTTAAAATCAGCTACCTAGACATGCTAATATATTTGTGTGTTTGCGTATAATTTGTGTTGTAATTTGTTCAAATTTATTTTCAGTGCAGCAAAACGTGATTTTAACAAGTAAATGATTTCTGTAACTCATAGAGGAAAAAAACTTAGAAAGAGTAAAATTGGACTACTTATTGAATTAAAATTGAACTACTTAGAGTAAAATTGAACTACTTATCGTTGTGA